AGAAATATGAAAAAAGAAAAAACTTGAGTATTGGGATTCGAACCCATGACCATAAAATCGAAAAAAGGTTGGGACGATTCCCCCGAGACATTCTGTGAAGCTGAGGCGGCGAATCGATTTACATTCCGGTTAGAGATTTCGGCTCTTCCATGCTATCCCGATAATTGGTCCTAACTTCGCGCTAACTAAAAAGCCAGTGAGGGAGAAGCTATCCGGCCCCTAGACACTGATGGATAACCCCTTGCACTAACTAGGCAACTATCGAAAGTATAATGTCAAATTGGGGTAGTCTATTCGGTGAAAGTGCCAAGTGGTCTATTATTATGTAAATGAGCGTGGTCCAGTGCCACACGCCGTTAAGGCGCTGGTTTTCAATCCAAAGGTTTTGGGATAGACCGGGATCGAATCCAGTTCATCTATCGAGTCAATATCATGTTTCTTATCTTATCTTTACTTTTTTTTTCTTTTTTCTTTACTTTTGTTTTTATATCAATTTCTGTATTTCTTTTTTTTTTTTCTTTTTGTTTTTTATCTTCATCGGTTTGTATGGAAAACCTTTTTCTTCTCGACGACTGTTCTAAATGTCGGTCTCTTTTTTATCGACTAACTATATATCACGTGCCAGCCAGAGCATCAACTTGAATTCTTGTACATATAATAAAAGTAATGTACACAATTCCTAATCAAGAATTACTTTGCCATCGTTGTAAGATAAATATAAAGATATTGTGCGATAACCGACTGGCTATCCACGAGTTAACTTAATTATTCAYRACAGGTGAGTYCCAAATGAATSGCGCGGAGCCTGGGTATCAAACTTTTCGCGCGTAAATTCTCAAGAGACCAAACAAGAATCCAAGATGGCGACTTGTAGACGCTTTCATCGTAGAAATCCTGTTTWTATTTGGTTGGAGTTACTAAACACAAATCTAATGCTGTGACGATCTACTTAAGAAATGAGTACAGGAATCAGTCAAGTTGGTTTTGATCCAAAGGTGAGAAAAATGTTGTTTTGGTGGGTGTGCGGCGTCCAAGTGCAATATCCTTCAAAAAGTCTGTWCTCAAGATCTKTGCTGATTGTTGAATACGTTTTATGWCCTTTTATTGCAACAAGTTTTTCCTAGATATGTGAAGAAATATGTCCTCGTCGTTGATGTTTTTAGGTAYTCAAATAGCGTAAGATATTCCAGTTCAAATATTTAATTTACTGACTTGATGGAGTTCTATTTTTGTTAGGTTTGCTTTACGTTTGTATAAACTTTCGCTTTGATTGTTTTATATTTATCATCCCATCTTATTGCGGTTATTCCATGATGATTATTCGTCTATCTTTTTAATCTTTTAAGAAAWTCATATTAAAACGTCTTGGGCATAAATTCCTCTGCAATTTTTGACATTTGAAAACAAACAAACCTCCCGAATCAYGCTTTTTGTTCATTATGAAAATAACTTCTTTTTATGAAAAAATTCTTATTTTTGATAAAAATATGTGAATACATAACGTTATTGTAAAAATGTTTTTCTTCTTTTTTCCAGTATATGATCGTTTATTTATTTTTTATTTTATTTTCTTCCAAATATCATTCAGATGGCAGATGTTTTATTCCCATCAGTGAGATATTTCTTGAATTTATGCAAAATACTATTAGAAGGACTTCCTATTTGCCAAGAGCTATAAATGTATGCTATTCTTTTCAAACATAATATTGCTGTCTTGTCATAAGTGACATGTTTTTTGAATTTYAATTTCATTACCTTGAAACAATAACAGTTTATGAACTGTTGTTTGAAGTCAGTCAAGGCTATGCTTAAAATTTGTTGGACAATTAACCTTATGCAATAACACAATATCTTTCTTAGTGACTGCAAAACAGGTGTTTTATTAATGTCATTCAAGAGTACAATATTTGTGTGGTAGATTCTTCCAAGTTTACATCCATGAATTATGRCATGTCAAAATGGGAAAGCTCCAAGCATATTATGAGTGGATATGGTTTTGCGCATAAGTCTACATCAGTATCTACTTTAGTCTCTGCTTGAGGCTATCACAACATGAGCTTTGACACTAATGAAACGTACCAAATACGTCTCTAAAACCATGGAACACTTTAAGAAAATTCATGGAAAAATAGAGAAGTGGCAAATAGTTCTGGGGAAAATCAGTATTTTCTCCATTTTCTTGTCAAATTTTCATCTTAGATTCTTTGATTTTCTTATCTGTAATCCATCATTTTCTTTTGGTCATATTATTCAAATGTGAAAATCTTTGATTTGACAATAAAACCAGAGATTAAAAAACTATCTATCCTCTGAAAACCTCACTATTAAGTTTTGCCACCCAGTAACTGTTACCTAATGATTTTCATTTAATCAAGCTTATATTACTATCTAGGTCAAATAACTCTGTCGTCATTGCTGTGAGGTAATTAGATTACAGCTGAATTATCTCTATTCCTATCTGACGTGATATGGGAGTTTATCATTGTTTTTCACTACATTTCTATGTGGACAGAAAACAACAATCTAATTTGCTGTAATATCTTACTTCATGGATAGATAATTGTGCTCTTGTTTGCAAATATTTGTTGTGTTTCTTCAGCAATGGGTTACTATTTTACTTCCATTTGATTTTGTAAACACATTTTTTGGACTGTTGTTTTTTTGTTAATTCTATTCATTTTGCAACCATTCTTTCCTTTTTTAAGTGATCTTTCTATTTATTAATTAATATCTTCTGTCATTTGAATGTATACACATTATGTAATTGCGTCCATTTTCTGTACAATTCTGAGTTATTTTGTAAACACATTTTTATTTATATATTTCAATTTTGTTGTTGCCAATTTGTTCATTCAAATGACCAGCTGCAGTGATATGGAGTCAGATTAACTGGGGACATTGGTTACCAATTCCTTGCTTGTAAAATGCTATGAAARAGAAAGTGTCAGAAARAGACTATAGGCGRATGTTAAGGCTAAATCGTCCTTGTAAAACTAAGCCAAGTTTGTTGCTTCAGGTGCTAGAAGATGAAGAGGAGGCTGATTATCAGCAGGAAGAGCAAGAAAGAGAACAAGAGGTACAAAAAATCCCTTTTATTTCCTTTTTTTTCAAGTTGAACAAAACCCACAGTTGATATGTGTGATAAATGTGAATCATTTAATGTTGAAGTTGTGACAGCTACTGATTTTGTTCAAATAAATAAACTAATTATAATGTAAAAATGAGGGATGCACTATCATTATGGATGTTAAATCCTTTTCTTTCAAGTACAAAAGATGATGAAAAATTACCATTCAAAATACTAATAAGTACATGTATTTATAATTATAATATTTCAAAGTCAAGTTAAACATTTTATTCAATTGCAAGTGCTGATGAAWTTCTTTTATCTTCTGACATCTCTTTTTAATTTCAGATCCGTAATCTAATAATCAATGAGCTTGATGATAATCTACTAGATGATGAAAACGCTTCATTCTCGTCACATGATTATCGTAGTACATCAAACAGTCGTGCAAGTCAACAATTAAACGACTCAGACTTGCAAATAAAGGAATGGAATAGCAATGAATATGCTGACTTCCCTCCAAGACGTGGAGTCTTTGAGAAACCACCATTAATGACGGGAAGAGCTAATGACTTTATCAGCCAGACTGGTGACAAACACCAGCAACCATTAGGGTATATGAGTTATAACCAAGACGACCAACAGTCCAGGAATTATCAAACATATGACCAGGAATGGCAACATCCCTCTAATTATATGACATATAACCAAAGTACAGACCAACTCCCTGGTGGTTATAACCAACATACACACCAACTACCTATAGATTATAACCAGACCTCAGGCCAACACCCTATAGATTATAACCAGCCCTCGGGCCAACACCCTATTGATTATAACCAACCCTCTGGCCAACACCCTATTGATTATAACCAGCCCTCAGGCCAACACCCTATTGATTACAACCAACCCTCTGGCCAACACCGTAGTAGTTATAGCCATGAAAACAAAGAATATCAAGAATATGAAGAATTTGGAAGTTACCATGGTAATAGTACAGATACAAATAGTAATGATGGAGTTACCAATCAGAACAAAGACCAGTTATACGCAGCAAATAATTACAATAAGCATAAAAACTACGGTGATTCATATCCTACAGATGGTGATGGGTATTATGGAGGTAGTCAACAAGAACCAACTGACTCGTATCAGGTACAAGTGTTTTTGTTGTTACTATGGTTAATGTCTAGCTGTGTGGGTTGTTTCAAGGTACCCAGTCTAAAATTTATCCATGGCAAATACCTTTTTATAATATTACACATTTATAGCAATAAATTCAGGGTTTTATACGCTTATTTTGTTTATTTTGTTTTATTAAAGAGAGAAGCATCATTTCCTGGAAACTACAGAGTGCAGTATGTACCAGGATACAGACCACAGAATACAGCACACACAGACCAGGAACAAAGACTACAGCYTGGTTCATCGCTACAACAGTATTCACCTAATACTGTMTGGAGAGATTTGAGACAAGGRACCACTACAGATGACCATAGTACAGTAGATAATAAGGACAACAGACCAGAACAGTTTGTAGAATCAACAGAAAGAACTTCCAATACAGCACAGCTACARATTCTGTATCAAGCAAGAGGAAGGAAGATAGAAGAATTAAGTGAAAAGTTGAATGAACGAGAGGAAGAATTGGGACGGCAAATAAGAGTCCTTAATCATCAGCTAGTCATGCTTAAAGGTTTGATTATATTGTATTGTTATTATAACTTGTGAAAGAGCTTTCACTTGTAGTATAATGCCGCAATATGGCAGTGTGCATAAAAACACCTGTTTGTAGTACAAAGGTGTCTCCCACTAACTGCTCACAATTCAACATCCTTTTACTAATCTTACCTTTTGTGTTGTTAGATGATCATAAAGGAGTGAGTGACAGTCTATCACAATCCCAAGAGATAGTTAAAGACAAACAACAAGAAATTACAACCATTCAAAATAAACTGAATATATCTATCAAAGACAATGAACTACTGAACAAAGAAAAACAAGAATTACTGGAAAAATTCAACGCTGCTAACTCTACCATAGACTGTTTCAATGAACAGTTAACCCAGTTAAGTAGGGCAGATTCCCTGGCTAAAGCTAGAGAACAACATGAAACTATCTTGAACACTGTCAGGCAGAGGCAAGAAGAAGAAATATTGAGACTTAAACAAAAGCTAGATGACAGCCAAGTGGCACTCAATTGGAAGGTACATACAGCATTATTATAGCAGTATTGTAAATCTATCAGCATTAAAATCATGAAGGAAACTATTGCATAGGAAACATTATTGTTGTGGCAAATGTTTTACAACAGCAAGTATTGTGATTACTAATGATAATTTACTGTTATAGACTGAGGAAGCGAACAGGTTGAGAGGAGAAGTCATGGAGAAGGCAGACATCATTAACAGATTGAATAGAACTTTAGATGATAGTCAACGACAATGTCAAGAACTCTTAAAGACAGGTATATCACAAAACATGACTGAATAATGTTATTTATATTGTCTGTAATAGCATATATTGTGTAGTATTCAAACCAAGATACAATTGTTTAGTAACAAGACCAATTCTTTTCCTTTAAGGTACTGTGACTGAAATTACAAACCTMCGCACACAGCTACAAGACACCATTAGTGCTAAGAGCAAAGTGGATTTAAACTGTACTTCTTTAAAGGTGAGTACATGCACTGTTTCAGYAGTGTTCACTGCACCCTCCTGAAGGGTAACAATGTCTTTACATCAAAGACAGTTGAACAGTGAATATACAATGATAGAAAACAGATGCAAGCTCACAAACCCTCTCACTTTAATGCAAACACACTTCTTTTAAGATTGCACAGGAAACTGTGAAGGAAACTAATGGCGAATGTCATAACAACGCATTACCAAAGATCCACAATAATGAAATTGTTTGGGATCTTTTACTGCTTGATGACAGCCTTTATTCAGTGTATTATGCTGTGTTTTTAGAGTGAAATTAACAGTCTAAAGGAGGAGTTAGTAATATACCAGAATGCTCTTAAACATGGATATGGTGARCAAACCYCAGAGTCTTTCAAGGGTCAAGATATTGTCAGGAATCTTAACAGTGAGAATTGGTCCACTCCAAAAACACACGGGTAAAACACTATATGTAAATCAATGTAATTTGTCCTTACTAATAATACAGTACAGTGTGTATGATAATACAGTACAATGATATTATACTAAGCTATCTACATTTTAAAGGAAGTACATAATGCAACAGGAATAGGCAATTTACGTAAAAACAATATTTTATTATAACTACCACAATAACATACACATTCTTTTTGTTATTCTGAATTTTTTTGTTTCTGAACAATTGAGATTAGTTGCATTACAATAGAGAGTGGGCAAAGTATTCTATCGGCTGTAATCTATGACATCGTGCGAATTTCATATTTATTGGCTTCCAGTAATGACAAGCAAAGGGAWGCTATCTCTGGTTTAAGGAAAGAACTGGAACACAGTTTATCATTGAATCASACCAAAAACCAGACAATTAAAGACCTTGAAAAGGCATTGGAAGAAGCAACAGAASAACTGAATGAAGAGAAAAAGAAAGGAGAAAGATTGGAGAAAATTATAGTTGAACAAGAGGTAGGTTGATCATTTGGATAACAATGGCGACRGTAAACTCTGATGAGATCATAATTATCATGGTGGTAATGTTGATGATGACAATGATGGCAGCAGTGCTAGAAATAATGGCAGGAGAAGGATAAAAAACAAGAGGAACTTCTATTTACATCTTTGAAATTATCTTGTTGTTCAAGGTCAAAGTCAATGATCTTAAAGCACAGTTAAGTGACAAGACTCCTCATGATGGTGAGTGTTATCATAATGATTACTAGCAGTATTTATGACATGCCCAGTAAATCATTACCTATCATCTGTAGACCCAGAAAGTGATTTAGTAAAGACATTGCAAGAACTAAAAGAAAGAAACCAGGTATGACACCAATTTGTCCAGGTACAATACCAGTTTGTCCAGGTACAATACCAGTTTGTCCAGGAAAAATACCAATTTGTCCAGGTAAAATACCAATTTGTCCAGGTACAATACCAGTTTGTCCAGGTAAAATACTAATTTGTCCAGGTACAATACCAGTTTGTACCAGTTTGTCCAGGTACAATACCAGTTTGTNAAAAACACAAATGGCAGAGGTATTGTCTCTTTCCTCTCTTCCCGTCTTTCATTCCTTTTTTCATTATTTCCATTCTCTCTTTATTTCGTCTTTGCTTTCTAAACTATTCAGATAATTACATAACCACAATAACATCCACACAAACTACACATCAAACAAGCATAATATATAAAAAAAACATTGTAAATTCGTTTACAACAGATGGTAGCAGAATTTGATGAAGACAAAAGGATCAGCCTTGATAAGTAAGTAGATGTTATTATTCATTATTTTTGTATCATTATTGAGGGTAGGTGGGTAATTTTCTGTCCCATGTTCCCACAGCCTTTGTTCTTGATTTTTACCTGTGTATTGCATCCTAATCGCAAAGATGAGTTTGCTTAAGCAAAGTTATTAATAACTTTACATGTATTTACTGTTCAGATGTAGAGACGCTTGTCTGCAGCTTCAYGAGGACTCCAAAGAGCAACTAAGGATACAATTAGACCAAGAAAAGGAGCTCGCTTTAAAGGACTTGAGGTAATAATGTTTGTAGTAGAGTCGTTGTTTTGTAGATGTAATTRTTTTTGTTTTGCAGGGATGCTCTACAAGACTCTAATGATGAGCTTTTGCGCGTCAAGGAATCGTATCTTCAGCTTAGTGAGGAATTCCGTAATATTGAGARTAGAGTAAGAGAAGAACTGAAAGAAAGCAAGGTACTAAAACCTTCCTGAAAAACTCATAAAACACAGGCTCTTTTATAAAGTAGTTCTAGTGTAACTATATTTCCGTATGATAAGTCATTTTTATTGTTGGTTTAGTATTCAGTGGCTGTTTGTTCACAGGATGAGTCACAAGCTGTCGAAGCAATGAAGTATTTCCTTGAGAAGCAGCATGCTTTGGACATAGAGAAAGCTCGCAAGCAATGGAAAGATGAACATGATGTTGAAGTAACAAGAATCGTTAACGAAGAAACAACAAAGATAAGAAAACAAGCTGATGAGGTATTGTTATCCCACTTTTTTCATTTATTCATTCTTATTCTCTTTTCTCTTTCTCATTCTGTTCATATAATCTTTCATTATATCTCTTGATATTTCAGGAAAAAGCTAGAGAGATTGAGAAGAAATTACAAGAAGCTGAGACAAAATCGAGTCAACGAGATGCTATCGAATTAGATAACCGACTTTCCTCAGCCAAGAAAGAATGGATCCAAGAACAAGAACAGCAAATGATAGACAGAATAACGAAAGCAGTGGAGGAAGCAAGAAAAACATGGCATGAACTACAACAGAAAGACGTCAAAGAACAAATAGAAAAAGCTATWAATGATGCCAAGGTACACAAAGACATGAGCATCTTTACAATTGTTATATAATAMTGCCAAATATTTCCATTCATTGTAGAAGACCTTCRTGGAGTCACGTGACCGTGAARTAGCCCAGGCCCTCTCAGACGCTAAAGTCACGTGGMAAAAGGAAGAASATGAAGCAAAACAAAGAGAAATTGAACATGAARTCGAAGTAGCRGTAACAAATGCTGTTGCTGAAGCYAAACAACTATGGGACAAGACYAATMATGTTAGTAGAGATTCYTYGTYKTCGWCCTCTTTCTTACTGTATTTTATTTCTATCCCATCTCYTCATCCCATTCTCTCCCTTTCTTTCATTCMTTTTCCCGAAACYTCTCCAGCTTGACGGCAAACTTGATCTTAATCGCGAATTTTTACTAATGAACAGGAAAAAGGTCGTATCGTGCATGAACARCAAGCCATTGAGTCAGCAGTAGCGTTARCCGAGGTGAAATGGCTTGAACAAGAACAAGTCAAGATATCTCGTGCTGTAGACAGTGCTGTTCATRCTGCTAAATCATCGTGGGAACATGACAAACAACGAGAAATAGGTATGAATAAATTGTCACTATATATCGCTGTMATCTGACATTGCTATATATGGTGATTTTACCATATATGGCAAGAGGGTGTCACATGATGTAGCTATATATAGATGATAGAACAATGACGGTTTGTTTCACKTAGCACGTGCTGTAGCCGAGGCGCGTCACCACTGGCAGGTCAACCARGATGAGGAGTTAAATAAAGCATTAGAAGARGCTAGTGCACAACTCGTGGATAAGTTTGATGAAGAAAAACGAGAGGCAGTTGAAATGGCTTTGAGAGAGGCCAAGGTGAGATCATTGATTGACAGCTCGTAAAATCGCTAGACATTGCGCGGTCTCATTGGCCGATTAGACARCATGGAGCGCGCGCGTCAAATGTTTTCCATTTYCCCKCCTTTTCAGGTTTTATCTCACTTGTGTATGATTTTGCTGTTTTTTAGACTTTGTGGCATCGACATCACGATCAAAACAACAACGCAAACATTGAAGCTATCAGAAATGAATTATGGTCAGAATTTGAAGAMACAAAACGAAAAGAAKTTCAAGAAACAATYGAGGAAGAACGGAACAGATTTATGGAAGAACACGAGAAGGAAAAACAAGAAGAAATCAATCGAGCCATAGAGTACCTAGAGTCCCATTATGCTAAGGGCTTGGAGGAGTTTAAACATAAGGAGCTCAGGACCGTTCTTTCTGARGCCCGTGCAGAGTGGGAGAAAGAACAAGAATCAGAAGTTGAGGAGATTTTGAAGGTGTTTTTTTTAGTTCTTTACTTGCATGCATCGACTAAATTGTTGTTGCTGYTGTTGTGTTGTAACGACTATTATAACGTACTTCCCAACATCSTATACAACAACATACTATCCCTGTTGTTAAATGTCACTTCTATATTTTTTTCTTATCATGATTCATTGAACCACATTCAGAAAAGAATTGACCTTGCTCGTGACGATTGGTTTAAGTCCCTCGACACTTCCTCGCGTACCGAAGTTGACCGTGCGCTAGCCACAGCACGAGAGGCCTGGGCAGCAGAGTACGAAGATGAGCTTGAAGACCGAGTGAATGCCGAGATARCCCGAATACGAGAGAATCTTTTGAATGAAATGGAAGACTCTAAGAGAAAAGAGATCGATGAAGCTATACTTACSTGTAGAAAACAATATGAAAGCAACGAACGAAAACTAAAAGATGAACTAACCCGACTCAAGGTACGCACACGAAWACGAATCAAGTGTACTAAATAGCTATTCTACARCATGTTTTTTACCGTYATCTYGGTAATATTCAACATATTTAGCAACATTTGATTCACCTAGCRTTTGTTTTGAATATGTTTGAATATAACGTTCTGTTATTGAAGGTAATGGGGCCACCACAGTCACTACGCAAACACTATGAAAATGAAATATCAAAACTCAACCTTCACCATCAAAAAGAGCTTGAGCRGTTACGAGAAGAGCACGACGAACACACGAGGGTTTTACGAGAGTCAGTCGAAGAAGAATTTGACCAAAAGCTCGTGGCGGTATTACATGACGCGAAGCAACTATGGGAAGATGAACAGGAAGAAGACAGGTAAAACTGATGATAAATCATCACTATCATCGTATTCCCTTCGTAACTTTGCTGCCATTTTTGTCATTGTGTCATTTTCAACATTGATAAGGACCACCTTTGTCATCATCAGTAGATTATTTATAATGATCTCAAGTGGAGGCGAGGAGAGCTACAATTGTAGTAGATATATAGTTTTAAAACTCGACTTTTTTCACTCTAAGAATTCAAGTTGAAGACCAACACAAAGAAAAAATCAAATCCGTCCTAGAAAACGCTCGAGAACAGTTTCTTAAAGATCAAGAAAAAGCTGTTAAAGCAGCGACAGAAACAGCAACAAACAGACAGAAAGAACTACTGAAAATTGAGAAAGAAACACACAAATTGACTGTGGAAAGAATGAAGGAGGAATTGACAAAAACCAAACAAAAACACGAAGAACAACTACAACTTGTTGAAAGAAAACATGCAGATGAGATGAAGACTTTGACGAGTGCTTTGAATGATAGAAAAGAAAATGGAACACAGGTTAGTTGGAAATAACCATTCCTCATTGATTGATTGAATGGTTGATTGATTGATTGATTGATTGATTGATTGATTGATTGATTATTTTGATATATAGACTCCATCAAATGTAGAAAGCCACAGTATTTGTGACAGTAGTCTGGGAAGCCTTGATCAACTTACTGCAATGAAGACAATGCACGAGTTGCGTGACAGTTACCTGGATACCGTTGCTAAGATACGTGATGACGT